TACCATATATATAAAATATAAAATATAATGTTTTATATACCTCGTATATAAATGATAAACTAAATCGATTGCAGGTTAAGTTTCCGTATCTTGAACAAATTGCCTTCATTCCGGCAAACCGCATCAGCTGTGGTTCAACATTGAAAATATGTTAGGATTGACAAACTACGTGTCTTCACCAGCTGGCTCAGTCTTAAAATTTCGAATTAGTAAAAAGGTCATGGTTATAATTTACCCAGTCTCTGAACGCTGCGGTCCAGTTAAAGCAGACAGCTGGTATTGTCCTACGTTACTCAGACTGACAGATCAGTATGGGCCCTAAAGAAGCACAAAAGCGGAATAACTGTGAGCCCTTCGCCTAATGGCAAGTTCACTTCAGTGCTTCCACAAGCAGTTGTGTGCTGTCTGCATTTTTTGTTCAAAATCAAAACAGTTTTTGAGCATCCACTATAAGCCAGTCACTGTTGGGCAGGGTATCTTAGGATTACATTCACCCACACTAGTCGAAAATGGCCAGCTTTTGGCACTCTTGCCTTTCTGCAAAGGAGTGAGAGAAAAATAAATAATAAACTTTAATAAGGAAATCGATTTTATCAGGTCCATTGGAAGGTGGTGTGAGTGCTGTGGGAGGAAAGAAAAGCTTTTAGGAGTCTAACAGGGTGGCATTTTTATGAGGTTCATCAGGTAAGCCTCTGGGAGAGTGGGCATGGGATCAAAGACACTAAGGTTAAGTGAAGAGTAGACCTCCAAGGAAAACCACTCCATCATGTAGATAAGGATTCGCTCCAGGCGGGCACCGTGGTTCACACCTGTGATGCCAACACTTTGGGAAGCCAGTGTGGCAGATTACTGAGGACCAGGAGTTCAAGACGAGCCCTGGCCGACATGGGAAACCCCCCTCTCTAAAAAATTACAAAATTGGCCAGGTGTGGGTGGGTGCATGCCTGTAATCTCCAAACTACTCAGGGGTCTGAGGGCAGGTGAATCTCTTGAACCCAGGAGTCAGAGGTTGCAGTGAGCCCAAGACCTGCACTCATTGGCACTCCACCCTGGGTGACAGAGCAAGACTCTGTCCCAAAAAAAAAAAAAAAAAAGATAAGGACTGGATCCAGCAGAGCCTGCCTGCTCCGGAGGGGCCTGGCGAATTTCCTAAGTGCAGGAGAGACACAGTGGGTGGGAATGGTGTGTGTCCGTTGTAGAGGAGGCAGGAAATGGATTAGTCAAGGGAAGGAAACACTTTGGTTATTAAGATGAGAAAACAGGGAGTCACAGCAAAGGGTTTTGAGAAAGAGGCCTTGGTTGTGTCTTGGCTTAACTTCTCATTGTCTCAGTGCATATTCTCAATGACTCTGACTAGATATGTCACCTCCTGAATCAGATCCATCCTGTACCATTTCAAAATGGTTTCTTGGGCTCCATCTTCTTACTCTAGCCAATTGTGCAGTTTTATGGTCGTTTGATCTTTTCTTGTGCCAGGGCAAATGGATTTTATCTTGGCCTTAAGCTAGACTGACTACCTTTTGGCTTTCTGCCAAGAGATTCATTGAGGGCTAGCCCAAGTGCTTCTTCCATAGAATCACTCTGGCAATTTCCAACCATTCTTTTTTTTTTTTTTTAATTTCGACTTTTTTTTACGATACAGGGGTACATGTGCAGATTTGTTACATGGGTATATTGCACCCAGATAGTTTAGCATCATGCCCCCATTGTGGTTTTTCAACCCCACGACTCCCCTTCCTTCGCTCCTTCCTCTGAGTAGGTACCAGTGTCTGTTATTCTCATGTTTATTGTCCATGTGTGCTCGAAATGTTTACTGCTCACTTAAAAGTGAGAACATGCAGTATTTCCCTACATTAATTCACTGGGATTATGGCCTCCAGCTCCGTTCCATATTGCTCCAAAAGACGTGATTCATTCTTTGTTATGGTACTGAATAGTGATTTCATGTGTATATGTACCACTCTTCTTTAATCAATTCACCATTGGATGGGCACCCTAGGTGATTCCATGTCTTGCTATTGTGGAATAGTATAGTGATAAACATAATGAGTGTATGTGTGCTTTTTCTGTAATATGTACTATTACTTCTAGGAACATAACCAGTAAAAGGATTGCTGGGTCAAAATGATAGCCGCGGTGCATGGTGTAAGTCCGTTTGGAGAAATCTCTAAACTGCTTTCCACAGTGGCTGAACTATCACAGTTTCTACAACATGTGTAAAAGTGTTGCCCTTTTCTCTGCAGTCTCTACCAGAATCTGCTATTTTTTTTACTTTTCTCATCATAGCCATCTGACTGTATGAGATGGTATCTTGTGGGTTTTGATTTGCATTTTTCTGATGATTAGTTAAGATGAGCATTTTTTTAATGGTTTTGTTGGCCAGCTTTCTATGTCTCTTTGAGAAGTATCTGTTCATCTCCTC